GAATGACTTGCATGGAAGAAAGTTGCATTATTTCTTGATTTCAGACTTCTTCACAAAAGCTTTCACAGTATTTCTGTTTCACTGTTTTCTGCAACTTCTTGAAGCCTGGAAAGAAAGAATTGTTCTATTCTTGACTTACCAGAGATCAAGTCAGCCATTTGTTCTCACTTGAAAATGTAGTCTGTGTAGGTGGACCAAAAACTAAGGCATTACTGTTCAGAAATCCAGTTTGTATTCACTTAATTCATTAATTGTTGTTCAGAAATAATGAAAGATTCCTTTCCCCTTCATACCCATCTCCCAGAATGCGTAACAGTCACATTTTAAATATATTAACATGTTGTTACAGCAACAAGACTTCAGTCACTTCTGCCTCCTTATGCAGTGATTCCTTTTTGGTGTGGACGTGCACATGGTTGCAGAATTAAATAGTCATTAGTCTGGTTGCTGTTAATTTATGAAAAGACTGCTCTGAACAAACTATTACTAAAGCCATTTCCTATGTTTCCTACTCCCAGCTTGCTTTGGGATGCTGTCCTAGAAAATGATGTGCTGTATTACCATATCTCTTAAAAATTCAGTATTACCAGATATGGACCACAGTCTGCAAAAATATGTAAATGAGATTCACCTTGGCTGCAGTAGAGTTTGGAGTCTGAACTGTTGACCGATTTCTCATTTTCTTTGTCTCAAGTCTCTGGCTATATATACAGACTGGGCGATGAGATGCTGGAGACCAGCCATGCTGAAAGGGACTTGCGAGTCTTGGTCAACAGTAAGTTGAACATGAGTCAACAGCATGCCCAGGCTGCCAGGAAGGCCAACTGTATCCTGGGGTGCATCAAGCATGGCATTGCTAGCTGTTCTAGGGAAATGATTGTCCCACTCTACACCGCACTGGTGCGGCCTCACCTCGAGTACTGCATGCAGTTTTGGGCGCCACAGTACAAAAAGGACATAAAACTATTGGAGAGTGTCCAAAGGAGGGCAACAAAGATGGTGAAGAGTCTAGAGGGGAAGATGTACGAGGAGAGGCTGAAGTTCCTTGGTCTGTTCAGCCTAGAGAAGAGGAGACTGAGGGGAGACCTCATCACGGCCTACAGCTTCCTCACGAGGGGGAGCGAAGGGGCAGGCGTTGATCTCCTCCCTCTGATGACCAGTGATAGAACCCGTGGGAACAGGATGAAGCTGCGACGGGGAGGTTTAGATTGGATATCAGGAAACGCTCTTCACTGAAAGGGTAGTCAGGCACTGAAACAGGCTCCCCAGGGAAGTGGTCACAGCACCGAGCTTGACTGAGTTCAAGAAGTGTCTGGACAACGCTCTCAGTCATATGCTCTGATTTGGCTGGTCCTGTATGGAGCCAGGAGTTGGACTCGATGATCCTTATGGGTCCCTTCCAACTCAGGACATTCTATGATTCTAAGTCTGATTTGGCACACTTGTTATCAGGGCCCATGAAATATTGATGTTTGTACTGAACTTGGTAATCAACAGTAAATCTCTAATGAACTAAATGTTTATTGGGGTAAGATATGTTCAGTAAGTGCATTGGACTGTAGTTCCGTACCTTCACTAGCTGCTCCTAGCAGATAGTCAAATCATGAGGCAAAACTTTGTACTGCCTGGTGCTGTAACTGTGGCCTTCAGCACAGGGACACGCCAGTGCCTATTTCTCAATATGTTGTTTCTCTAGAGCTCTTTTTAGTTGCCTTCTCTTTCTTCTTGCTGTTACTTTATCTTCTCCTGGAAGCATTGCACATCACTAGAAAGCATGAGAATACAATCTGAAGCCATAAGACCACAGCTATGGAACAGTAGGAGTGTGAATCTGATTTTGACAAAAGGTAGTTTTTTCTCTGTTGTTCTCCTGAGAATTTCTTTTGTGTTTTTGGTTTTGTGTGTGGTTGTTTTTCTAAAAGGTTTCTTAAGTGTCATTATGTAAACACAAAAGCTTATTATTTAGTTGCAGCAGTGTGCCAGATGATCATGAAGCAAGACCTAGTCTGTGCTTTGGAAAGCTTCATTCCCTGTGTTCCTTACAGGGATACCCAGCAGAGATGTTACATTGGGATTGTGGTAGCTTTCGATACGCGTTTTCCAAGGCTAGGTGGCAAATTTCCTGATCCTTCCTTTAATGCCATCAGTGACAACAGGTATTACACACACGCCCTCATAATGAATGTAAAATTTCATTATTAAAAGAAGGTTCTTGGCAAGGAGAGGTGAGCAGGAACATTTGAGGCTGCGTTCAGGGTGTCCTTTGTTATCACCACAACTGAGTTCAAGTCCTGGATTACATGCCAACTGTATTGGACAACCAATTTCTGCTGGCCTGCTGAATGCCAGCTTGATAGAAGTTTCACTTGGATTCATGTTTGCTTTGCAGGAGAAGACAAAGAGGAGAAATATTTCCCAGTGAGGTGTTACTGCAGTATAGTTGTGCTGCAAAAGAGGAATTACCACAGTGATACCACTAAGCCTTTGTTGAAAGGCCTAGGGAACAAGTGTAGGCCTTGGACCTGAAAGGTTAATATTTTCCCCTTTATCATCGCTTAGTGACTCACATTGAATATACAAATTTCTTTTTTGCCTGGATTGAATTGTATCAGTACATTTGGCAAGCTTTTAGTGTGAATTGTCAGATTTTACATCTTCTCCATAAAACTTGCTAGGATTTTGGTCTGCCTGGTGTATACAAGTGCATCCTTAATTTATCCTTCTTCATTGTTCATCTGCTAGTTTCATATCCTTGCTGCCATAAGGAACAGATGTGCAATAAACTAGGCAGGACAAGCAAAGGATGCTCAGACTAATAGCAAACAGAGTTAGTTCAGGTGTGTTTGATTGTTGCTTCTCAAATACTTCATGAGTCTATCTGCAAATGTCAGATAAACCAGAGTTTGGAAGAAGAAGATTGTTTTCACTGATATTTTGTGTTAAATGAAAAAGTAGTGGCAACTGACAGTAAAGGGGCAGTCTAATAGCCTTAAAAATCTTGGGGTTTCATTCATATCACCAGACAGAGTTAGTTCAGGTGTGTTTGATCGTTGCTTCTCAAATACTTCATGAGTCTATCTGCAAATGTCAGATAAACCAGAGTTTGGAAGAAGAAGATTGTTTTCACTGATATTTTGTGTTAAATGAAAAAGTAGTGGCAACTGACAGTAAAGGGGCAGTCTAATAGCCTTAAAAATCTTGGGGTTTCATTCATATCACCATGTCAGACTTCCATGTTAGTGTCAGAAAAGAGTGCCCAGCACGAGTCCTATTTTGTGACATGGAGTCGTTACTCATGTACCGTTCTGTGGGACTATTTCTTCTGTTTCCTTTGAAACAGGGTGGAGGTTGTGGGGGGGGGGCTTTTGGAGGAAGTGATCCAGAGCATCCCTGGAAATGGGGCTGTTAAATCTTTCTTCTCTTCCCCTCCCCTCCCTGATGGCTGCACTAGAAATGAGTGTGACTAGGCTCTGCCCTTTTCATGTCCTTTATGTCCCTTATAAAGGGCATCTTCTAATGAGTTAGGCTGAACAGAGGGCTAATGTAAAACCTTCACTTTGTTTCAGAGAATTTAGAGACTTTGGTGCAGTCACATCCACAATTAATTCAGTATCAAAGACTCAGACTTCACAAATGCTTCTTTGACCTCTCCATGTGATTTCTTTGGGGGCAAAAAGCATATATTGCTTGAACATCTGCCTAAACCTAGTCTAATAAGCATTAACGTAATTTTTTGCAGTTCTGGAGGTCTTGGGAAGTTGACAGATAATATGACTTAGATACAAACAGTTCCTGCAAGTGCCAGTGGGGTCGGGGCCAGGGCGGGGGGCTGAGGACCCAAACCCAAACAACCCTGTAATCATGGTTGGAGTAGCATAACTGCCAGTGTGGGGATGGTAAGAAACCAGCTAATTTTGGGAAGGAGGGAGGTGAGATAATGTGGACCTCCTAGCAGCCTTGGGACGTGAATTTCCCACACTTGGAAAGTCAATGTCACAGTGACAAAAAATACTAGTAAATACAGTATGAAGATTGGTTTACTACATAAGTTACCTTAGATGTTTGAGGGAGTGTGTGGTTTTTTGTTTTTGTTGGGTGTTTTTTTTTCCCACATGTGTAACTTTGTAAATTAGCTTTCCTCTTTGTGGGAACACATTTGTTATGTGTGAGATTATTTTCTTTCTGGTTAGTCATTTGACAATTCTCCATCTGGGCCCTGAAGCCCAGGATAAAGATACTCTGTGTGATCCTATCGTATTGCTGTCTTGAGGGTGATATATAGCTATTAGAGCCTCTTCTTGTAGCTCAATTTTTATGTTCTTATTTGGCCCAGTTCGTTGTTGTTGCAACAAATTTGTGCTCTTGGCATATAGGAGGGGTTGGTAGAAAAATGCAGGCTAAGAAACTCTGAAGATAATCAGAATATTCACCGTTCTTTCTAAAATTAACTTCGATCGATCGATCTGGCATGCCCTTGGGAACAAAAATGTCTGGCTCTGAGTTGCAATATCATCAGGCTGGAAAAGGGTCATATTAGATGTTTGGCTCATGAAAGATCTTGAGTCTCGCCTGGGTAGCTGGAGTTGGGGTTAAGGAATGTATTAAGTGATGAGTAATCAATGTTGGTGAAAGAAAGCTTGTAACTAGTGGTGGAAGTGGCAGGAATTGGGAATGTGACTTTTGCATTTATAATGTGGGACAAAAGTCGGTGACCTAAGGATATTTCCTGCTTGTTCTCATATTTTGTCAGTGTATTACGTGATCGTTTTGGGTTTTTTTCTTCTGCTTGCTATATACATGTTCTATCAGGCAGGGGATGTATAGCCTACTGCAAGTGCTGATGCTGTCAAATTAGCCATTGCTGTTTGTATTATTTTTTCCAAATAGCTAACAAGCAGCAGCTGACAATGATGTATTTAGTGGCAGAGATGTACCAAGTATCAGTATAAAGAAGTGATGGAGTATCTTTATTTTTGTGCTGTTTTTCAGACTGCTCTGCAATGACTACAGCAAGATATAGGCCTACCTGGGACTTGGTACTCGACCCATTAGTGTCCTGCAAGCTCTGCCTCGGTGAATATCCCGTGGAGCAGATGACAACAATAGCACAATGCCAATGCATCTTCTGTACCCTGGTGAGTTTGCTTTTTTTAATTATTATTAAGCATAAAAACCTGCACAATTTTAACTGCAGAAATCATGTGTGTTTCTGCTGAGTGGGTTTCACTCCGAAGGGTTGATGCTGCGGTGGAAATAAGTGCACAGCAACAGTGTTTAACACAAATGCTAGCAAGCAAACTCTTCTGTTTTCCTGTTTATAAAAAAATAGGTTTTACTCAGTGCTTCAGTATACTGCTGTATACAGTCAGTCACCTCCTTAGCAAGGTTATTCACCTTTTCACTTTTATCTGTCAGTGGCTTGGATTTTGGGAATTTTTTTTGTTGATTGTTCTTTTGTTTATTTTTTTTAACTTTACCCCCAAGCCTTTCTGGAACAGTGCCATGCACACATTTGTAACTAGAAAAATATTTAATATATTATAGATTCTAGTGTCACTGTATCATAATTACAATCCTGTAACAGTTTTTTACTGCCCTATTGCACAAATGCATTCCTGGTATAACAAGAATCTTGTCAGTTAAGTAAACACACTGTTTGGTGAATGTAAGTATAGCATGTAGCAAAGATCATCATAACAGTAAATAGGTATCGCTAGTTTATGAACAGAGAAATAAAAGTAGTAGTAGTGTAATTTTCCATTCCTAATGATGATTTGGAATGACAATGTTAGATCCTTTAATTTTGCAATGGGTGCAAGTACACCAAAAACCTTGTGACGATGG